CGGGTGACAGAGCGAGACTCCATCTCACAAAAAAAAAAAAAAAAAGAAGAAGAAGAAAGCTCACTTGTGCCTCTTCCCATGATCTGATTTCTATTGCCAAGATTAGTTTTGCCTGTTCTAGGACTTCATATAAATGGAATTAAACAGTACACTTTTGTGCCTAGCATCTTTCACTCATCCTGCACCTGTGGTGTTGTATGTATTGATTGTTCTTTGTATTGCTGAATAGTATAACATTGTATGAATTTGTTTATCCATTTTTGTGTTGATTGACATTTGGGTTGCTTCCAATTTGGGGCTATCGTGAGTAAGACTTAGGAGCATTCCTTTTTTTAAACTTATGTTTTCATTTCTCATGGGTAAATACCTAGGAGTGGAATCCTGGGTTATAAAATAGATCTGTGTTAGCTTTTCTAGTGGATGCTAAATGCTATCTCATTGTTATTTTAATTTGCATTCTCCTCATAACTAATAATAGCAAGAATCTTTCATGTCATTGTTAGCCATTGTGTATCTTAAGTTTTTTCAAGTCTTTCGCCCATTTTTAAATTCGGTTGCTTATGTTTTTAAGATTGGTTTTTAAGAGTTCTATATGTATTCTGAATAAGAATCCTATGTTAGAAATATGTAATGCAAATATTTCCCAATCTGTTGCTTGCCTGTTGATTTTCTTAATGGTGTCTTTTAATGAGGATCAGTGTGCCAATTTTTAAAATGTTTTCTGCCTCTTGTGGTCTGTGTTTGGTAAGAGGTAGTTGTTTAGGTCAGGTTGGCTTTTTTTCCCCCACGTAGGTATCTGGTTGTTCCAACAGTATTTGTTTTTATATATTGACCTTGAATCATTTAATCTTGCTTTGCACTTAACAGTTTTATAGGGTTGTGGGATTTTGGGGTCAATTCCACAGGGCTTTTCTACATATAGTCATTCCTCTGTATCTGTGGGTTCTGCATCTGTATATTATTAAGGGGAAATATAAATATATCTCTTCTTTTGTAGTGATAGGTCAAAGAGGCCTATAATATAGTATTTTTTCCTTATATTCATTCTAAAATCATTTCTTATTGTTGCTTATATTATCATAGATTATGCAGTATGTATAAAGATGAGTAAATTCCATAATTAAGGAGCTTACCGACTAGTAGGAGAAAAGGCAAAACATGCAACAAAATATAAATTCAAAGTCAAGTATGATAACTGCTTTTTAAAAGAAATACATATGCCGGGCACGGTGGCTCACGCCTGTAATCCCAGCACTTTGGGAGGCCGAGGCAGGCGGATCACAAGGTCAGGAGATCGAGACCACGGTGAAACCC